GCATCTTTCAAAAATATTGGCACGGGTCAATGGACTCTTCAGAATGTAATGAGGACTTCCTGTTGACTTTCATTCTGTTCAGCCATGAACAAACAGTTTTAATGAGGGATAGATTTAGGTATATGTGCATATGAGTTTTTATTTCTCTTCTCCTTGATTTTTGGCATCATATTGTTGTTCATCCAGGAGGTTATGTTTTTGTCTCAGATCTGTTCGTCTGTTTGTTAGCGGGAATACTGGAAAGTTCTGTCCTAATTTTCATGAAACTTATAGGAAAGGTGTACCACGAGCCAAAGAAAAATCCAATCATTTTTGAAGTTGAACCTTATCAGGTGGTGGATCCAGGAATTATTTTTTCACTTTGGTTAATGTGGAATCCTAGTGGTATTAATTCAGGAAATGGGGCTATCGGAGGAGCACTTGAATGCACCATTGACCTTGGCAGAGTTTTGCACTTCCTGAGTGCCGCTCTAGTTTGTACATGAAATATATTTTATTTTGTCTGGCATTGAAAATATATTCTTAAAATACTGCACCAATGATCTCTTGGGTTTTGGGAGTTCAATCCAAGTGCAGAATTGAGAGATTTTCTAATAAATGATGCAGTGTTTAAACAGTTTGAAATCTCAGTAGGCATGAGGTAAGTTTACAAAGACAGACAAAAATACTTCATTACTCTCATCTTGACCCAGAATATTTAGGCTGCTCTGTCATTTATGTTCAATAATAAAACTTAAAAAATCAATGCATGCAATACTGAACGAAACATTTTGACTGTCTGAGGTGTGTTGTGAATATCAAAAAATAGAGAATAGTTTGCACGGCTTTTACAACCATTAAACCTGCACATATAAAACGGAAAAAAAAACGTGTAACTCTCTTAGCACCAGCAAAGGGTGAAATGCTCTCCTAACCGCGCTGACAAGCAAATATCGTCTCGGTTGGCAAAATTGGCCCATTTCTATGCAAATGAGCCTCATTTCTAAAGCAGTCCAATACACAAAGATCAGCGCCAATAGCCGCATGCAGTAACAGTGGAATAATTAGCGTCTTCAGAGAGTTGGTGGTAACTGAAGCACGTTTATACTAATAAGCTGACAGATAGCCAGTGGCGGCCGGTGGTCTTTTTTTTTGGTGGGGCTCTTGACGTACCGTAAGTGACCTACCCGGGGGGTCCGGGGGGTTTCCCCCCCGAATTTTTTTTTCGAGAAATGACCCCTTAAATGATGACTTCTGGTGATGTTAGAGGGGGGGGGAAAGGAGAAATCGAGGCTTAAAAATATGAGAAGACTGATCAATACCTCCATAATCTTCAGTGTGGAAAATATTATTTATCAACCTGAACATCTACTACTTTACCAGGAATTTGTGTTCTCAGAACTGGTCTGTTTTTTTCTTTCTTAAAACTGTTCATGTTTTATGAACCAACACCTTCACCAAGTAGCTTTACAGTGAACTGCATGTGAGATATAAAATTAATAGCATCTTTTCAGTAGCATTAATTATAAATATTTAAGTGGTTCAATACAAGTCACTACAGCATTTCAAACTGAACTGTGAATAAATGCAATTTAAAAAAAATAACCACAGCACAAAATGTCATAAATTGTGTTTTTTCTTTGTTTCTCTGAGGATTATTTACAAACAGGCTTATTTACATATAGCAATAACTCAGAAATGAAAAAGCTACATCGTCTAACACGAACAACCAGTTAGCATAATGATAATATATGTGTTATGTACAATGTAACTGGCAAGGCTAGAGCAAGAAAGAACATAAAGTTTGCAAAAGGTTTAAATAACTTCAAGTATCTGTCTTCAGATTACGTGGAGGTTTTAGTCCGATGGGAAGCAGATTTTAAGCGACACCGAAGATAAACCAAAGATGTGGTGGAGCTGCAAACCGTGTAGTGTTGCTGGGACAGAACAGGAGCTATAACCGTTGGAAAATACATCACAGACAATGCAACAAACGTGGAGACAGAACAATCACTTCTGTGATAAATGCCCACTTATTAATAAACTTCTAACAACCATGGGAAACCTCCTCTCTACATATAAAGTGATATCCAAGCATGGGAAACAAAAGACAGCATTTACCTGTTTGCATCCAGCTAGCCAAGCCTTTCTTGTGTACCAGCTACTTGTGAAGCCTCGTGTATAAATGTTGTCTTTTTCACGAGATTGCTGCGATATATTCAAATCGGGTTGGTCCGGTCCAAGGTCTTTAAGCAACAATTTATCTGCCAAACTTCTCCTTTCGAAAGGATTGGAGATTAGCTCTTGAACAGAATTAGGCGGGGACCGAGGTCCGGAGACTCCACCTGCACACGAAGCCATCCTCATCAACTACTGCGTCAACCGGATACGAGTCACTGTCCAAACTACTCACAGACTGCACTGGGCGCTGACATTGGCGCCCGGTGACCGTCATCTTTGACGACGCTGATTGGCTGAAATTATATTTTCGCGGCATAGTTTACACGTTACAGATAGCAACAGTCAGCTGCTAGTGGCTGCTGCTGCACTGGTTGAAGGCTCCTCTCTTAGCGCCCAGACGAGAGAAGGTGCATGGGCAAGGCCAGGCAGGAAACATGTGACTTATCAGTAACTTTAGACATCGTAACACAATTTTAAACGAGATTTTATTGTAGATTATACATTTTACTGATACCAATTATATAATATTTACCTTGTTCATTAAAAATAAAAATAAAAATATATATATTTTTTTAAACATATATTTTTTTTTTTTATTTTTATTTTAATTATTTTTTTTTTTCAATATGGGAAGAGGTGAGGCGGCGCCCCTAGCGCCCCTATGGACCGGCCGCCACTGCAGATAGCGGTTGCAAGTGATGGGAAGCCACAATTTGTAGCAGTGCTTTGCAGCTAATTGCTGATGTCAGCAGGAAAGCCTACTTGCAACAAAAGAATATGCTTAACAAGTATAATCTTCACAATGTTTGTGATCTTAGTTTAGCTCACATGTGCTTAGTATTACTGCACACAAAGTACAGCTGAGGATGATGGGAAGCTTTGCAGGTACTTGGTTATGAACCAAAGGATTGGATTGGTGGAGATAGCGGAAGAATCTGAGGATCACCATTACAATTCACCTTGAGTGTATGAATGTCTGTAATAATAGTCGAAGTAACCAATGCCTTGATGGTGCTAGAGATAACTCTAGATAAACTACGTAGTCACTGCGATGTCACTCATTGGTTTGTGGACTTCAGAGTTAAAGTTCGAGTTTGGGGTTTTAGCCATCACCATCTTGGTTGTTGGATCAAGCAGTCGCACAGAGGGGGCGGGGCTACGTGCAACAAAAAGCTCAACAACATTATGGTGACTTACACATTACAAATAACTTTCATGCAGTGAAAACACAGAATCAGAGGGCTAAAGTTGAAAGAGAAACACTAAACACAACCTGTCAATCACAAGATTGCCATGCCCAAAGCATACCCAGCTTTATTGTTTATTAAACTCTGAATGTGCCAAAAATGTATTAAGTGAAGATTATTCTGTATTGAGGAACTTGAAACAAGCGGTTTGGACAGTAAAAGGATTATGTTTACTGAGGTAATAAATGAAGAAAGAAGCTATTTTAACATAGACTACAAAAATGAAGTCACCCCCTGTTGGCCATCAGAAAGAATGCACGTTTGTGTCACTTACACATTGGCTTCACTTTTGAAAAACTGAGGTTGTCGCCTGAGATCAACAGAGTCAGTGGGACTCATCTTCTGGACACCATGAATTTCATTGCAATCCATCCTATACATTTTTTTAAGTGGTTTGAACATATTTTAAACTTTCCTAACTTTATTAATACCTCAAAACTATATGAATGTTGGGACGATTTGCCCCACAGACTGCATCGATCCTGTCATTATACACACTGCAGTGTCTGCTGAGCCTCGGGCAGAACAGCTCTAACACTCTGACGAATTGTTTTGTGTTTCTATTAGGGCTGTCAAGTTAACGCGTTAATAACGCGTTAACGCAAAAAAAAATTAACGCCACTAATTATTTTAACGCGATTAACGCATGTGTATTTTTTGTCCTCGGCCGCCGTAGTTTCAGAGCGCATCGAGTGTAAAATACCATCGACAAGCTGATGCTGACAGCCCCGCTCCTGCCGCCCGCTTGTGGCAGACCACACTTCCACGCTCACTGGCAGGCCCGGACTGGCCATCGGGAGGACCGGGAGGGAGTGTGTATGTGTGGCGCGACTCGCGCGAGCGAGGCACACCTACGTGTTGTTGTTAGCATCTGGTGCTAGCTAGCTGCGCTAACGGATATAAGGAGCTGTTTCAATGACATTTCGCCGACAACTGCGCCGAGCACTTGACTTTATGCAGGTAGCCAGACAGTGGGACATTGTACGAAAAGTCAGCGCAACATTATTGCAGCGTCCAGGCAGCTCCCATTCGAGCATATATGCCTTGAGCTGCACATCGCTCAACGATCCATCACAGTGTCTCCCCACACACACACACACACACACACACACACACACACACACAGTATTATTGTATGAGAGGTTCCAGGTTGAATTGAGGCGAATATTTGTAATGTTCAGGTTGTTGTGTTTAATATTCATGAGAATATTTGTCATTGTTCAAATGATAATAAACAAACATATAAAGCATATTTGTCCACTCATATGTTGATAAGAGTATTAAAAACTTGAAAGATATCCCTCTAAGGTACATTTAGAACAGATGAAAAATGTGCGATTAATTTGCGATTAATCGCGATTAACTATGGACTATCATGCGATTAATCGCGATTAAATATTTTAATCGACTGACAGCCCTAGTTTCTATACTTGTGGATTCCACCTTGCATAATGGATTCAGCTGAGCCTTTTATTTACACAACCCAATTTGGTTTCCTGCCATTCTGGTGGCCATTTCTGCAAACAGCTATACTCTCAGAATACAGCAGAAGATAAAACAAGCTTTTGTTTCTCTCTCTCTCTGTTTTTGCAGATAGCTTGTCGCCTCCTGTCAATGTGACCATCGGCGCAGTGAAAGCCAACTCTGCTGTGGTGACATGGGACATCCCCGAGGGAGACCCCGTTATTGGCTTTGCCATCACACAGCAGGTGAGCAACAGACACTGGATATAGGCTACTGTATGTCAATGTGCCAACAGGGGGGATAAACTATGCAAACACACACATACTAATTGAATTAATTTCTGGTTGTTTGCTGCCATGTGCAATTCTCTGTACCCAGTTGTTCTCTTGAGTCAGTGTGCTTTGTTTGAATTATCACATGCCGCTGGTTTCTGTCGGACTGCCTGTGTGTTCTCTGACAACAACAGACCATGACAGCTCTGTGACGTTAGCGTTATAAGTGATGTTATTCGCTGCAATCGAGCTCACACAAAAACGTAATCAGGTTCATGTACGCACTGACAAGACATGTTGGTGTGACGTTAATGCCGAGGACAGCATAGTTTGCAGAGGAAGGTAATACAATGTAAAAATTCGATACAAATACAGGTCATTATGTGCTTTCCAAAAACAGACAATTAATATAGCAACAGAAATATACATCTGCTTGTATTGTGATCGTTATTGATACATTATTCAGTTTGTTTGTTTTTATCTCCTGGATAACGTCCTATGACTGTGAAAATGTTTTATATTCTTTATTGACATTTTGTGAAATATGCTTTATTTCAAACAGTAAACAACAAGGAAAATGGATGCTGCTCTTGCGTTTGTCTATTAAACATGAAGCTGTAGCCACGAGACGGTTAGCTTACCTTAGCATAAACAATGAAAGTAGGGGAAAACAGCCAGCCTGGCTCTGTTCAACTTCAAATGGTCAAAAAATACACATACCAAGAAATGTAGCTAAACCTGGCTATATACTGTATATTGGTATATATATTGATATATATATATAGCACAGCTGCTAGCTGTTCCCCCCAGCCTTGATGCTAAGCTAAACAAAGCTAACCAACTCCTTGCTCCAGCTTCATATTTATCAGAGTGGTATTAACTCTTGGTAAGATTTTTTTTTCCTAATATCTTGAACTTTTTTGCTTTGAAAGTGAGGTTTTTATGTATGATGATGTGAATGCAACAGGAGCAATGCTCTCAGTATCCAAAGTATCTTGTTATGTGTATTTATTTTCCGTCATTTTGCCACAATTCATACGAGACGACCTCTTGAGTAGACCAAGTTCCTATAAACTCTGCCCTTCAGTTAGCCTAACCATAACCCTGTACATGATGGGGGCACCCTTTTTTGTTTTCATGAGTGGCTTTGAGTGAGTCATCCTACACCACTGCTACACAAAGCATTCGTCCTGCTGCCTTAAACAACATTCACCATTCGTCTCCCTGTCATACTCCAACAGAAGAAAGACGTGCGCATGCTGCGATTCATCCAGGAAGTCAACACCACCACACGCTCCTGTGCATTATGGGACTTGGAGGAAGAGACAGACTACATTGTGCATGTCCAGTCCATCAGCATGTCTGGGTCGAGCCCGCTGAGCGAACCCCTGCGCTTCCGAACGCCCAAGGAGGCCGAGACCCAGGCCTCTAAGAGTAAAGGTAAAGTGGCACACACCAATGCCATTCATCAAACACACCCATACTTAAAGGAAAAAAGTGTGAACTTCCTCTCTCTGTGTCCGTCCCTTTTCAAGACAGCAAGTGCAGAGGGGACTTGGCCTTTTGACAATATCTTGACTGATTTTCTCTAAAGAGCAATACAAATCAATAGACACGCAAAGCGTGAAATGAAATGTCACAACAGAGTGCTCCCGAAACTCGCATCTGCTGACCACAACTCAGGAATAAAGCTGCAGAGTGAGGTCCATACTTCACTGTGTATTGACGTGCCTCTGCAGGCCTCACCCTGCATGCACCTAGCACAACTGTACAGTAAAATAAACTGAGGAAAGGCATTTATCAGACACAGAGAGGAGGCAGTCGGATCTACGTGGGGTGGCAAATCAATGTGCTTTTGGCTGAACCCTGCTCCATCTAGTCTTCTTCTCATGTACACTCATCTCTCATGTGAGCCATACTTCGATACTTCCCGGAAAGAGTCTGAACTTATGTTATGGTCGACAGAGGTCTGGCACTACAGGAGACATATAGAATATAAATACAATCAATGCAGAGCACTGAAGACGTGCTCAGTTCACCACTGAGGCCTAATTAGCACAGAAAGTGTTGTCTGCGTGTTGCTTCTGTGAGGGGAAGATTTTACAGAAATCAATAACTGCAAGGAACCCAGATACACATAATTATTTTTGGATTTTATCCTTTTGTGTAGATGCTTGTTTCCTTTCCCTCTCCTGCTGTCTTTTAAAGCCGTGGAGACAGAACAGTGCCGGGAGGCCAACCCAAACACCATGTACAGAAACAAAGAGAAGTGTCTCATGAACACAACACACTACAAACAAAGATACATACATATAGTTGTATCAGAGTTGGTAATAAAAAAAATGTATGAGAGGTAGTGGCAAAAGGAAAATAATACACTCCTTAAAGAAAGAGTTGGACATTTCTGCTTCATAGGATGCTGATTGACAGATTTTGTTACCATAGACCCAGACTAGCTGATTCCAGTCTTTATGTTAAGCTAAATTAGCAGCTAGTTTTGTTTTTCCCATAGATTGAAGCATGATAGCTGCTTCCAATCTTTACTCTAAGCTATGTTAAGCTAAGCTAACCCTACAAACATGAGAGTAGTTTAAATCAGAATAAGCCTATTCCCCAGAAATGTACGTTTTTTCTTTTAAAATGAGCAGAGGGATTTTTGAGGAACACTCTCTGCCTCAATGCACTTGTCCATTTCATAAAAATGTATGATCCAAAATGTAGACAGGCTCTGCACACACACACAGCGAGAAAAGGCTATCCAATACAGAGCAAGGAGACATCCTCACTCTTCCTCACATTTGACAACATGCACACGTTTCACAGTGCACGTCTCCACAGAGAGCAGTCTGAGATTTAACATCCTTCAGCGTCCTCACACTTTAGCTCACCAATCATCCTGCTCTGCTTGATTTGCACTGCCTGCTGAAGGATGTCTGTTTAATTAGCGTAGCTACGTTGGAACACTGAACTCTTTTGATGACAGATGAGCAGATGTTCTTCAAGTCAACATTTTGTTATTCAGTTAGAGATCAGTGGTGTGTTTAAAATTCGGGATGCACAACAGCGCCAGAATAAATGTTCAATTCCCATCAGAGCGAGACTGTGGCTTATTTAAGGAGGGCACAGCATGTGGATAAGGTAAACATGTTAGGTAATAGATCATCAAAAACTGTCCACAGTTGATTTCTTATTAATTGGCTTTTTTGTATTTGACATTTTCGGAAATTATTCAGAAATATGCAAATAAGGCATTATCTTGTTAATTATGTGATAATCTGCATACATTTCTGAGCACTAAATTGATCCAGCTACAAATTATTTGGATATTATATCTCATTGTATCACTACATAAAAAGAAAATAACTGTCAAAAGCCAAGTTTGATGTATTTAAGTCCTACTGAAGTGGAGATTTCAGATTTCTTTCAGAAGTAATAGATAATACTTTGAAAGTTCCCCAGTTGATAAATTATGTGAAGACAATTATTTTAATAAAATGTTAGATTTTAAATACACACATTATAGGCATTATCAAAGGGTACCTTTTGATGAATTTAGGAGCAATTTACAGACACACAAATACACATTAATAGTTTTGTTTAACTTTCTTGGTCTATTTTGGATGTATTTTCTTTCCAAAAGACTTAAAGGGGCCCTATTATGCACATTTTGAGGTTCATATTTGTTTTTGTCTCCACTGTGACATGTTTTCTTGCTTTAATGTTCAAAAAGGTCTTTATTTTTCTCATACTGACTGTGCTGCAGCACCTATGTCCAATAAGTTCAATTTCATATAACTTGCTCATCATTCCACAAAATGGTGACAGCAAAAGCGTTTAATGGTTATTGAAAATGACTGCTTCACAAAAGGAGGCAGAAAGAGAGAAATCAAGTTTGTCTCTTACTGCAGATAATTGCAGGCATAAAGAGAGTTTCTCAGTACAGCTGTTAGGCCATTGTCCTGATATGACAGGCGAACTATCACAGAAGAAAGGGACGTATTTTGCCGTCCTCGCTCGACAGCACCCTTCTGATCCGCCATATCATGCTGATATCAGTGAAAGAACAAAGGATGAGCCTGAAAAGCTGGATTAATCATGTCCTCTTTCACAATACGTTTAGGCTTCATGAAATGAAAGGAAGACAAAGAGATGAACAAAAAAAACAGCACAACCTGGGGAAGAGACGATGCATCATAAAACAGGGGCGGGAGCCATATTGACTGATAGAGAGTAAAAAAGAGGAAGTAGTTACAGAGGAAGCAGGACAGTAAAACATCCTCAAAGAGTACCACACAATTAAATCCTTCTTGGTGTTTTTCTCACACAGATGTACACACCTATAGTCCCTTTTGGACAAAACACTTTAACTTAAACATGGAAAATAAAAACGGTAATCCAAACGAGCTTCATTGGCCTCTTTAAAAAAGAGGTCTCTTTTTCTCTGGCCAAAAGGAAAATCCTTCAAAAACAAGGATGATGGAGCAATATTGCAATCTTTCTTATTTAATGTAGGAGTATGACCATGTACGTCCAAGTATCTCTCGAGGCAGCATCGCTCAGCTCTGCTTCATCCCATAGGCAGAACGAATTGTTGTTCTGTTTTCTTTTTTCATCAGGTGCACAGTGGTAGCAAATATCAAGAGAATGTTCTTTGTTGTTTGTTGTTTGTTTTGTGCCTGTAGTGCAGGGGTGGGGAACCTCCGGCCTCCGGGCCGTATACGGTCCGCGAGACCATTTGATACGGCCCTCGAGATAATTTATAAACACACGCAAAAAGAAAGAGATAACAAGCGAGTGCCTGTTTTTCTTGGCCAAGGTTCCTTGAACACAACACGAGCCTAACGTGTCATCACGTGGTATATGTCTCGTCTGAAAGAGGTGTAGAGTGCTGACGGAGAGCACCGGGGCCCTTTCTCATTTCTCTAATTCCCCTCCTCGACTCCCCTCCTCGACTCCTATCCTCGTGTCTTACGGCCCGTCAACACAGCAGCGTTAAAAAAATCTTCCAACGCTTCTGCCCATTCACTTTGAATTGGGTGACGTCACTTTGCCTCACTTTTCGCCGAACTGCATTGTGGGAAGCAGAGCGTAGATTTCCAGGTTGAGCAATGTTCAACTTTTGAAGCTGAGGTGGAAGCGTCAGCCAATCAAATCCCGTTTATGCAAATCTGACAGTACAAGCGCTAGCCAATCAAACCGCGTGTAAGCTGGGAGAGACATACCGCAGGTCATTTCCTCATATTCCAAAAAATGGAGGAGAAATTAATTATAGCGGTAGGGAATCACCCGGTGCTTTATGACCAGTCCCTATTTACCTACCGGGATACAAACCGGAGGAGCCAGGCATGGAGGGAGGTGGCAGAGACAGTGGTAGGTTTTCGCCTGTTTGGGGAGTTTATATCCAGTTTACTTCGGGCTTTTTTGCTTTGTATGTCGGGGACGGGAGATTCATGTGATTGGTTGTTGGTCGCGTTGCTCGCAAAAAATCCCCAAGCTTCAGATACACCCACCTCCAAGATTTTTTTAACGCTGCTGTGTGGACGCTCCGTTAGTCCCGCCCACAGGAGATGCGAGCGGAGGAGTCGAGGAGGGGAACCGAGGAGAGAGGAGGGGAAGCAGCAGGCATTTAGAGAAATGTAAAATCCTCTCCTCTGAGCAGTCATTTTAAAGAGACGTCCATTAATGATGACAGGAGGCACAGCACTCTGTCTGATGGACAGAACTGTGTTCATGATGACTTATATATTTACTTTTAATTCATTCACAGTGCGGTATAATGAAACAATAACAGGCTACAGATGCGGACATATATACACACATATATTTATATAAATATATACAATTTCAGAATCAAACAAGTATGAGAGCACTCTCATAATAACGTAACACTATCAGAGGCTGAGATAAGTCCGGCCGTGCGTCACAACATCTCTGTTGCCGGAAATAAATCCGCGGAGGACCCATCAGTGTATCCTCGGTTATAGCTCCTCCAGAGAGCCTCCTCGATGCTCGATCCTCGGTCCTCAATGTGCATTTAGAGAAATTAGATGTCCTTCAACATGGCGCGCTGAAATCCATTTCCGGTTCACTACCGGAGGACCGAGGATTCGAGGAGTCGAGGAGGGGAAATTAGTGAAATGAGAAAGGGCCATGCATTCTTCTCTTGCATACATATATAGAGTGCCACAGTGACGCGTCCTAAAACCCGGAAGTAAGTTAGAATTTTACCACTTCCGGTTCCTTAGACAAAAACCAATGCAATTTCTTCATAGGATTTTGGAAAATAGCTCGAAATAAGGTCTGTGGTTGACACACATTTAAGAGACAGATCACGTTTTGTTCAGCCACATGTCTACCCTACTTTTATAATTTTCGAATCATAAATCTTATCGATAGATTTATGATCGATAGATTTATGAACCAGATGCTAACAACAACATTCCACGTTACCGCTCGCGCACTCACAAAATGCGCTCATGCCACACACACACAGAGCCGAGCTTGAATGAAACACAGAGACCCAGAAGTACTTGTACTGTACTGTATATCATATTATTTTCTATGGCTTTACTGTATAATCAGTATAACAGATGAACAGATCGCCACTGGGCTCTCATCTAAACACACAGCCAAGTAATGATAACAAAACAAAGGTCGGGGGTCATTGGTCAAGACAGATATCTTAAAGGGGGACCTATCATACAAAATGCACTTTTGTACGTCTTTTATACATGAATATGTGTCCCCGGTGTGTCAGGGAACTCACCAAGTGTCAGAAAACACAACCCTCTCTCTTTTCCTCCATACCCAGACTTCTCACAGAATCAGCCCCTGCAAAAACAGGGCTGAAAAAGAGCAATTACAGCGAAATGTGGCATGGCTAAAATGCATGATCTGTTTGGTATTTTGAAAAAAAAACTTCACAGACATGTTTTATATAGGTATGGCCCTACAATATATTATTCAAATATAGCATGATAGGTCCACTTTAATATCTTTTGACATATGAGATACGCCAATTTTGAGGATAAGAAGTACAATAATACAATAAATACTTACATTAATGGCAACAGTTTACGTATTTATATTTGTTGGAATGTAGAGAAACTCTGGGACAGCTATTTTTAAATGGTGGTGAATCTTCTCATCGCTTACCATTAGAGCTCCAGTGTTAAATATGAAAACCGAACATCAGATAAGAAAAGTGACAAAGCAGCAACACAGTTTCCTCTCGTGTGCTGTTAATCCATAAAACCATGTCTTGCTGATGCAGCTGAGCAGTCGGCCCCGGGACAGGGGGGCCAGGCACCTCGGCCGCTGAGCTTTGATCAGTTATCACCGGGCAACAGAGGCCAATCGATCAGCAGAATTGCTTGTTGCTAAAAGCTGCTGGAGCGTGGGGTTCCTGCCACACCGGGCCTCCAAATGTCATTCACTGCATCTAATAAAAGGATGGCAGCGCTCTCCACGCTGCGATGAACTTTACATCAAGCCTCTGACTTCCACAAAAAAAGTTAGCACGTGTGGCTGCTTTGTTCCAGAGAGAAACAGGCACTTCTCTCTTTGATGCTTCTGCTGATAGTCATACTTCAAAGATGATGACGGGATATAACTGATTCTGAATGCTGTGATTAATTATTTTCATTGCTTTATCTCTATATCACGATCTAGAACAAAGGTTCACCAGTGGCTGAGATGAGGCGTTAACTATCCTTTTCATGTTCTGCCTCTCTGTGATCTTTTGAGTCCATTGGGCGCTCACAGAATGAGTCCTAATAACAATAACACAGAACACATCTCTATGGATGCTCATGCTTGTTTGTCTGGCTGTGTGTCTACAGTTCAAAATGTCTGTCTGTATGAAGTCAGTTACTTTATTTACCTGACCCCCTGTGCCTCAGATCTGTATGCTAGTCATTTAAGGCATAATAGAAACAGGTGAAGACTAGCAGACAAGCGGCAGTAGTCAATATGAAAATACAGAGTCTAGACAGAGCTGACCTTGAACTGCGATACAAAAGGGAACGGCATTGGAACCGAGAATGAATAAAATGACTGAGCAGTATAACAGCTCTGGAACTTGGAAAAGCAATGATATACTGTAGAGACTAAAGTCATCCTCCCCAAAGCAACACTAAATGATTACTACGAGCCATATTGATGGAGGTTAGATGCCCCGCTAGATTGTTGCCAAAAATTGTAGAAATTAAATGAACATTTCCAAAGTTAAAAGGTTTTTGAAACAAAGAAAGTTGTCCATGAAGCCTCTTGTCATTCTGAGCACATAATCAAAGTTAATAAAGTGCACTCTCTGCAGATAAGACAGTTCTTGTTTATTACAGGTGCAGTGACCGAGTTACTGATCTAATTAAAAATATATGAAGTAGTTTGTTAGCCTGTTGTAAATTAGTAGCTTATTAATCAAGTTTACAGAGGAAGTAATGACCCAGGTAATGACCTGTATGCAGCCACAATGCAGTCTCTCTATGGGGACGGGCCAAATATAAATAGGAATGGGAGTAGAGGAGGATTGCATCTTTTATTTCCTTCTCTACATAATACATTTGCCTTATTGGACGGTGTTCTTAATCTAGAAAATAACATTCCCCGAATATCTCAAAACAGAGACTCAAAACATATTTTTCACTGGCCATTTTCTTTCAGACTTGAGAAGGATTACTCCAGAATTCACATTAAGGTGTTTATTTTACTGTCTTACTAAATTAATTGTCTTAATGTCATTAATTAACTTGTACCCAATGAACCTGCAGCATCTCCCTGGGATTTCCAAAGAAAGCAACACAGACAATTTCAGATGGTGTCATCTCATCCAAACCTGTACATATTCATGGGTATTATTTAGTTTTACAATAACTACAGTTCAGTTAGACAGCTCGCGTGTTTCTTTAACATGTTTATTAGAAGCAGCATAGTTGAGTTTGGCGTCTACGCTCGGGCCTCATCACTCCACAGATATACATAGCACGATGAGTGATGATTAAATAACTAACCCCCGAGCCTACAGGTGGAAGCTGGGGTGGAAGCTGGGGTGGAAGCTGGGGTGGTGGTGGGGCAGGCAAGCAGCAGCGACGTGGAAGTAGCTGCAGCAATAGCAGCAGCAAGCAATGCATGGAGAGATATCTGACAGGTTAAATAGAGCAGCATATTAAGGAGACTCTGTTTGGTTGGTTGTAGAGTGGCAAGGGGCGTTATGTATGAATGCAGCATAAGTGCTCGAGTTGACTGCCTGAACTAGCTCGCAGGCTTCGCCCCATTTGTTAGATGTAGGCTATAGCAAGGCAATGTGTGTTTTCTATATACCAATATAATCTATATTCTGGAAAATGAAGCCCCTAAAGCACACAGGATGGTTGTCGCTCTGCTTATGTCAAAGTGAACCTTTAGAACCATCTCTGCAATCTCAACCCATTCATTTTCTTTTAAGTCTCACAACGGAAAAGACTTTAAAAAAAATGACGTAGCCCACAATTCTCTCTTTCTGACCCCCCTGCTGCTACAATAACCGTCATACACTGAAGTTGTTTACTGTTTGATATCTAAATGGTAGATCGGTTGTGTCAGAAATTCTGAAGTTATTCAAATTACAAACCTCCTCAGTGATCACAGCACCTGATCCATCCACCTTTTTTACTTTTGAGGAGGGCTGATGCAAAGCCGTTAAATCATGCGCTCCATGTGCTCGTTCTGTGTGCTTTCTTAAGCCGACACAAAAGATGCTGACTGCTTGAAGTGTCATTAGACTCATTTAAGATCCTGATTTTATACGAAACTCTCTTTGCTGTTGAGTAATTTGTCTGTTTGGAAGCCAATTACTGTAGCTCCTCTTGTTCTAAACAACAACCGGTCTCATCATACCAGGTCAATGTTGTATATAAGTCGCGTTAATGTGAAAACTCTACAACAGGCCTGGCTTAGAGTATGGAAATGATCTCAACTTCAGGTCAGGAAAGGAGAAAGGAACAAAAAGGAAAATACTGTTACTGCATTTTAAAATTCTTATGATGCCTGTGTTCCATTATTCAGGAATATAAATGTAATCACATTTAATTTTGGACCCTGTTCTTGTTGCTATTCTTCTTCTTGTTTTTCATTTTGTATTGGATTGTGTCTTCTGATTGATTTTCTTTTTTCTGGCACTTTGTGTGCTTCTTCTTATTTACCTATTGTTGTATTTTTCTATTGCTTTTTCTTTTATAACCTGTTTTGTTACAGTTAGATTTTTCTCTTTGAATAGAGGGGTGGGTTTTTGTATAGGACTGTGGTTTCTGATCATTTCCAACTGTATGCAGTCATACTGTAATAATGTGTGTGCAAATACAAATAAAACGTAAACAATAACATTACAAAAATGAATACGGCAGCAGACTCATCTTGATTCATTTACTTCTGGGCCTCCTGAGGACATTTTAATAAGCATGTTTCTCACGAACGTCATCATCTAGAATCTGACATTTTCAGTCAATCATAATCCTCTTCCACTAACTAAATATGTGGATTCTTTCAGACGAGGTGACGATGGAAGAAGTGGGCCAGAGCACCCAGATGAGGGCGGGGGAGCTCATCATCATCGTGGTGGTGCTGATCATGTGGGCAGGTGGGGACACACACACACACACACAAACACACACTGTTGCTGTCGTAGTTGTACTCAAATCAGCTGTGGATCTGATCACTCCTCTCCACTCCTCTCCTCCTCTCCTCTCCTCTCCTCTCCTCATCTCTCCTCCTCTCCTCCTCTCCTCTCTCCTCTCCTCCTCTCCTTCTCTCCTCTCCTCTCTTCTCAGGTGTGATCGCTCTCTTCTGCCGTCAGTACGACATCATCAAAGACAACGAGCCCAACAACAACAAGGACAAAGCCAAAAACTCCTCCGAGTGCAGCACTCCTGAACATCCGACGGGGGGGCTGTTGCGCAGTAAGGTATAACCCACCCACCCCTCCTCCTCCTCCTCCTCCTCTTCCTCCTCCTCCTCTTCCTCCCCTCTGGGTGCCTCCCCTACAGCGACTCCGGGCAGGTGAATTGTCCCGGCCACTTCTAGACTTGTTTCCACTGGCACTTCATGCGCAGTCATCAGAACCTCAGTCTTCAGCTAAACACTGCTTCAACATGGCAGCAAGTGCATGACTTTGCAACTTTTAGAAAACTCACGAGTCATAGCTTCTAATGAGTTCTTTTGGGGTGAATTCGCGGTGCACCATGCCATATTCATATCCTGTGTTCAAAGATCTCTTTCGCTCATGCTATGAACATCAATACGAGTGCAGAGGCATCCTCATGCTCATTGAAGGAGCTTGTTGTATGATTCTTCTCACACCTGTCGTCTTCTTCTTTCCTCCCACAGTTCCCTAAGAACAACAACAACAACAATAGGATGCCATCTGTCAACATCATTGAGGTGTGACTGCCAGGACGTCGTCTCTTTATCCAAAAGACTATGTGTTCTCGTAAACAAGCGGGCCCCTTTTAGGCCCATCTGCTTGTCAGGATGAGGCTGGGACTCAGGGCCCTTTACTCTCCTCTGGCGGGGCTGAAGCCAAGCTGCTCCAGTCGGGGGGGTCGGACACGGCCTGGCCGGTCTGAGGGTCTGAGGGTCTGAGGGCAGAGTCTGGGTGGGCTCAGAGGCTGCACCCTGCTCTGTAAGTACTCTACCGCGGGGCCGATGGGGGCCAAGTGGCTCCGACAGTGAGACTGCAGCTGCACCAACCCCAGGGACCAAAGTCTACGAACAGAGCCAGAGACCTTTTCATTCTCTCTCTCCGTCACCTCTTTCTTCTCACCGTTTTTCAGTACATTATCAACAACCACAAATAAGACCTTTCACCATATGAGTGGCACTTGTCGTACCTTTTTTTCTTCATAATATTCAGCTTTATGAATTGAAAGAAAAACACTGTAGATCATCCATTATTCTAGTTAATGTTAACAAGGTGCCACCAGAGCAGTCCTGTTCTGGTATCTTTTTATTTTTCTAGATCCCGCTCAGGCAGAAACGTTCTGTGGGAACTGTTTTCATTCTGCCAAGCTCCTTTTCCCCCCTCAGGGAAACCAGAGTCCACCTGGCTGCTTTAGGACTCGTTTCTTAGATGTGCTGCAGTGACGTCAGAGCAGCCTTAGAGGAGCTGAATCACCCACTATCGTCATTTTGAAGGCTTATCTGAGTATGTAACAGGCCAGGTGGTTTCATCTTGGCCACACTTGTGTTTGCCCTCTAACTTCTGTCATGCTTTTTTAATAGATTTCCTGAATTGTTACATTCCACATCCAGGATGAGCCCTTTAGTATTTCCTTGTGTCTTTCTCTGTGAGGGGGATGAATTTCATTATGGAGCTGCGTTCATTGAATGAATTTAAAAAGAGGGGGTGGACTCTACTGATGTCTGTGGAGACCCCAAAGAGATCCCTTATATCAGCAATAACAGTGGAAGCACTGTTCGTCCAAAACTCGAGCTCCCAGCATGCATTGTTCAGACGAATGAACAAACTGCACATCGACTATGAGGGAATTTAACCTGAGTTTACAGGTGATCCCTCCCCTTAACTTTAAGAGAAAAGTGTTTCAGCGCTGTTGTAAAATCTTTCGGATGGAGAGCATGGGGGGGGAAATATGTTTTATGGGCCCAACATTCAACCCAGAGACTTCCTTATGACATTAGCAGATGTCACCAAGAAGGAAGGGCTTCTATCAAGACTTCTTTCTCAAATCAAAGTCAACATTGCTTTGAAACTACGTGTTGAGAACACTAAAAAGGGATCCACTGTTATACGGTACTGTGCACTGTACACTGTAAAGGGACTTGTTTTCAGAAAGCAAATGGTGTATGTGAGGGCTGATTAAAACTCAGTAGTACTGCCTTAAAAACAATTGTATTTATGATTTATCTTATACGACGGAAAGCCCTGTATACCTGTCTGATTCATTAGCTTTCACATGATAATTAAATGTGTCCGCAAGAGTGAAAATGAACATGTGCTGAGGTTAGTTGGCAAATCTGGTTGACATTGAATGTGTAAATACATTTTATATTTCATTCTTGTTTGGTAGTGTCAGCCTAGAGAGCCTTTAATGAAATATGACTAATGTGCAACATGTATAGAATCTAAATGTTAGAGGGTACCGGCCGTTTGTTCACGCTGGTGACAATGTAGGTGATTTCTTTTGTCAATACACTGCTGTTAAAGTCTTTTGAAAACACTTCTATTGCATTTCTATTCATTGGTCGTGCTTTTTTGATCTGGAAAAATATGAAAAAAGTACTGGAATAATCGTGAAACATGATGGTGAAGAGCTTTTCAGTGGCTAGGAATCTGTGTTGTCGGACAGAATGATAAACAGCTGATCTCTTGTTCCGCATTTCATTCTCGCTCATTGTGAAACCAATACATCTGTGTACAAACACAACATGTCACAACTCTGCCAGGCAGAAAAGTGGCTCCGAGAGCAATGAAGGTTGAGTGGAAGTGGGTAGAATGATGGCTCTTATCACTCCCTATCCTTGTATTGCTAAGAGTGGAAAAGCGCGAGGTTGTGCGCACTGAATCATGATGCAGGAACAGGTTTAGAGAAAATGCACATTGTGGGAGAAGGGAGAAAGAACCAGGTCTCTCTACCTTTAGGACAAACACCTCACAACTGTATTCTGCTGCATAACCCAGTGATCAGCACTACGGCAAAAAACCTTTGCGGCTGAAGGCTGAATGCATGTTTCCCCAGGAACACTAGTTCTCCAATCGATAGACCTCCATCCACACACATAAACGGATAATGATGATTATCCCCCTGGATGTTTTCTTTTAAGTTATTTCTATAAGAAATCAAACATGTAGGCATTTTTGTTGAAATGCACTTTCTTTTTCTTTTGCCTAAATGAGTCAAATTTGAAAATGTGAGGTTTACTTCAGCTTGGAATACATATTTTCTTCCTAATGATTAGGGTGTCATATAATCGAAATATGTATTCAAATCAAATTGACCTTTCTGAATACAAAATGAAAAACTGAGGACCACCAACTCCAAATTATGCTATTATTCCTTACCCTCATTTTAGTGCAGGTTTATTGTAAACGTACACTTTTGTGTCCATATTTAATGCTCAAGAAATAGTATCACATTATGGGAAACAGTTTATTCACTTTATTACAACGTAAGAAACAGCCCAGCTAGCAGGGAACGTTCTCACAACTTTGGCTAACGTTACCTACAGGTTCTAATAATGTTTTAAAGAAAACGTTTTAAGAAGGTTATCACCAAACATTTTAAGAATGTTTTTCGAGAACGTTATCCTACCTTTCAGAAGAACATTCTGGGAACCAAAAGAAAACTTCCCGCTGAAAACATTCCTAGAACAATGAATGATAACATTCTCAGAATGTTTTTAGAACCAAAAATGTCTAAGTGGGAGGTCGTATTAAACTCAGAGAAATGATTGGTTCTCTGAGTCACCAGTTCTCTTGATTCTGGGCACTACATTATTCACCAAATATCGAACCATTCCTTTAAAGGTGGGGTAGGTAATTTTGGAGAAACCAGCTCGAGATCGCTAGAATTTGAAAATACACAGCCGGAAAAAATCTGCCACTTCCTTACAGAGCCCCTCCTCCAACACACACGAACGTGCACATGACCAATGAGGGCACGAGATAAGTTTGTGCACAGATGGAAGGCTGACAGGCAGGTAGGCCATCCAGTTATTTTAGCCGGGCCGGCTAAAATGATTGGTCGTGCTTTTTACAGTACTACGGCTTCCACAGATGACATTTTTTTATGGATTTTTTGTCAAAGCACTTAAGATATTCATTGCTATCGGGATGTTAAGAGCATTCCATGGAATATAACAAAAAGTGTATCTCGAGCCGGTTTCTCAAACTTACCCTACCTTTAAGTGATGCAGTTTCTACATAAAGGCGATGTGTTTGAGTGAGCTACTACACAGAGGTGATAATCCAGCAGTTTGATGGTTAACAGCTGTGGAATATAATTTGACAGATGCCGGGTTTGACAATGTTAAACAACTACACATGCTATGATGAATCAGAGGAAGATATGTGGGTATTTCACACATCTCATTTCCAGGGGTGGAGTGCAATGAAGTCACATGTAACTGTTTTAACTAAATAAACTGGACTCACATTATTTCTAGTTGTAGGAATAACCAGCCACTTCTGGTGTTCATGGTTAATTTGACACCCATCAACTATAAATAAAATATATTTTTCCTTAATCACTTTTGACTTATGGTGACGACTGTGAGGGGGCGAACCACTCTTTAACACTGAGGCTTTCCTTCAGTGAGATTGTTCTCATGCTAATGTATGACACCATGTCTGAAAATAACTATGCTATAGCAGTAATGGACTACTTTGCGACTTACAACAGGGCAGTCAGGAGACTTTTCAAAACGTATACAATGTGTATAAGACTGGAACGACCGTGCTGGAAAGTCAAACACATTTTCGTGAAATTACAGAGCACTTGGACTATTCCATTATGGGTTTTTGAAATATAGGAAATGACATCCGCAACGAAGCATGGTTTAGACAAAACAAACTGCTTTATTATTGCTGTCATGTTTGTATTCATTGTATGAAGTGTACAGGAGTCATCGCTTAATGAGGGCTAGCCTGGTTTAACTATTATGCACAAGGTTACACAACTTCAATTATGAAGAATATGGTGTATGCTTACTTGTGTATGCTTCAATAAAGTAAGAATATCTATTATTTTCCACAAAGATCTGTGTTTGATCTTAACTGTAAACAATATAAGCAACTTGCAACATTCAAAACAACAAATTGTCCAAACCTCTCTGGACCAAGACGAAATCAGGGTGGTGAAATGTTTTTTTATGTTCTTTATTTCTGATAATCTGGTAATACTATACTATGCCACTTCTTCAGATATTTTTGGACATACTGTACTATATTAGTTTTTCTCATATTTGGCACATATTAAACTGCCATTTTTTATTATATTTTCAGCATGTCGTGTTTCAGATTTTTGCGACATATGCTATGTCGTTTTTTTATATTTTCGACATATTATACTTACATTTTTTCGACATACTATGTTGTTTTTTCTGAAATGTTGGATACACCAAAGGATTCTAAGAACACAGGCTCATTTTGCTGTAAAAATATGTGAACAGGAGTTTTAAACTGTCACGATTTCAATCCACCAAAGGAAAGCACATAACCTGAAATTGGTCTTTTAATCTTACCTGGGGATGGGAAGAATGAGTTTTGTCTTAGAAAACATTTGACATGGTTTAAGGCTGGTACATACACCTTCAAGTCAGCAGCTTGTGTAATAAAACGTGCCTGATTTTGTAATTTCTTTGAAATCAATAAGACCTAAAATAGCAAAACAACAAATCACTTGGATCTCACTCAAGTCCTAAATAACATTATCTGTATCCATGCATAAAAACAAGAGCAAAGTGTTGGATTGATTATTTGATTGGTTGATATAGCTGACATGCGTGACTTCCATTTCTGTCTTTGTTTTCCTGTGGTGCACTCTGTTTTGACAAAACCCAACACATCCAAAGAAGAACTGAGGGGCTTGAGGATCAACACAAACAGCTTCTTTCTCTGCTGAGATCAGGCTCAGGAGTCCGGAGGGTCCCAACATTGTTGTGTGGTGTAAAGAGGTGGCTCTGCTGTGGCTGCTCACGTGCGTCATGAGGCCTTCACAACAGTGGCGGCCGGCCCATAAGGGCGCTAGGGCGCCGCCCCACCTCTATATACCACCAAAAATATTTTAATTTTTGTATTACATTTTTTTTTTTTTTTTTCTTCTAATGAACAAGATACATATTGTATAGTTGGTGTCAGTTAAAAGTATAATCTACGATAAAATATCGATCGAATTACGATGTCTAATGTTACTGATAAGTCACGTGTTTCCTGCTTGGGGCGCAGAAATCTTTGGCCATTGACTCGTTATAAGTGGTGCATGCGCAGTCCGTACCTCTTCAATGCAAGTGATGGGAGCAGCTCGGGGCACACCAAACTGCGCCCAAAGCAGCTGTTGACACCGCCAACAACTACGGGGCAGCAGGAGCGCCAGAGTGAGGGATTGACGTTTGAATGAGAGTTAGACGAAGACGGGGTGTAAACAAAACTAGATAGCGAATATGGAGAAGGAAAATGATGTTTAATCACTTAAAGAAACACCCTTTGAGAGGAGGACACTGGAGGGAAAGCTGAGACTAAAAGAGCTCGGACCTGATCAGCCTGACATAGGACAGAGGAAGGCAGTATACGTGCTCTTTTTCAAGGAGCTGGTTTAGCAAGAAGGCTGGGCTAACTACCTGTAGCAACACCAGTCCTAAAACCCGGAAGTAAGCTTCTTCCGGTTCCCTCGACAAAAAGCAATGCAATTTCTCCATAAGATTTTGGAAAATAGCTCGAAATAAGGTCTGTGGTTGACACACATTTAAGAGACGGATCACGTTTTGTTCAGTCAGATAATCTCCACATGTCTACCCTACTTTTATAATTTTCTAATCATAATCTATCGATCATAAATCTATTGATTAGATTTATGATTTATGACACAACTACTATTACTATTACTACTTCTACAACTACAGCTACTACTACTATTACGACTATGACTACTACTTGTACTCATACTACTACGTAGTAACTCCTTCAGCCTACTTTCAGCTAAAGAAACCATTCAACTGTTAAATGATTCAGCTATTTCAGGACATTGAGGCTATACATTTTGTAGTTTATACCTCTTTTAAATATTAAGCTTCATCACTATGTTTCCTACTCTTCCAGTTTAACATTTCACTTTCCAGTTTTCCAACAAAGTCAGTGCAGTTTGAGCTTTAACAATTTTTATTGAAATCATTTCACTTTTCTGCATTTTTCCGCAAAGTTCAGCAACACACTTACTTTGTTTCTGTAGCTAAAAGCATATACGCCATTCAACTATTACAATATTCAGCTTTTTCTGTATTTTCAGATCAATTCAGCAACAAATTTGCGCAGCTTACAGCATTTTCAGCAGGAAATGCATTTTCTAGTTCAATCATGGGACCCATGCTGATAAGTTCCATGTATTTGGGATCTCGGGGCTTGCTTCTGCAGGCCTGCACCTGTGCACGGCACGCAGCATTATTCACCACACAATAACAAGGGACAACTAAATCAGTGCAAGTGGAACAGGGGAGGATTTATTAT